GTGAGTGGAGGAATAGATAATTAAAATTGATGTAAATTTTTAGTATGTTTGGGTGAGTTATATTTTCAATTAAAAATGGTTGATTAAAAGCAATGTTCTGAAAACTGGACCGGTCATCGAACCGGTCAAGCTACTGGTTCAACGGTTCATTGGTCGGACCAGTGGTTGAACCGGTTGGACCGGTATTTAATTTTTTAATATTTTTAGACATATATAATATTTTATATAATAGAATTTATGTACAAAAACTTTATTAATTAAATATTAAACTAATTTAAAACATTCAAACACTTAAATTAACTAATAATAATTTCTCTCTCTCTATATATATATATTATCTAAATATGTTTATTTTTAGTTGACTAACAGAAATGTAAAAAATAAGAAATAAAAGCAAGATGTTAAGTGCATTTTCTTTCAATTGTGTGAAAGACGCTAAGCCCATAAACTGTTTGGAATCATGTTGTCCCACATCGCTTGGGAAAGCTAAAATGAAGGAGACATTTGCTATAAAAAGAAGCACATATTCCTGCGGCCAGTCCTCACTTGCGGAAAACCAAGTGGTGAGCCAGCATTTAGTTAAAAATTAAAAGTTCATGGGCTGCATCACATTGGGCTTGTTCATTGCAGTCCAAATATCTACATTGCAGTCCAACTTTAAAGTACAAATTTGAATCGTTGGGCCAGTGAACCGTTCCCGGTTTTCCGGTTTGTCCGGTTTTTAACCGGTTTGAACGGTTTGTAAACGGTTTTTGAGCTAAGCGGTTTTATACCTCAAACCGAATCGCTGTGTTGGTCAGTTCCCGGTTGAATCGGTCGAACCGGCCGGTCCGGTCCGATTTTCAGAACTATGATTAAAAGTGATAGTGTCTTGATTTAATTGATATTGTTGTATCAAGCACCACCTTAACGTTCCTTTCAACCTTTTCTTTCAATTGCAATATTTAATTTTCTTCCAGATGCTATAATAAACAAAATGATCATCAACTAAAATCTCCGTTATCATAGAAAACTTGAAATAAAAAATATAGAATTAAATTAGAGTGAAATATTGTCGAATGTAAAGAAGAAAAGCACAAAATATAATGAACTGTTTTAGATTAGAATTTTGACAGAAGGAAAAGGTAAAGTTTGCTCAATGCGAGGTGTAACACAAATTTCATATTCTTAAATTAATAAACAGGAGAACTTCATAAAAATTAATTTCTACGGATCAAATGAGATATAGTGGATTATAATCTCTATTATTCCTCTGATTAATTTTTTCAAAAACAATTTTCAAATAGACATGAGACTTTTGGAGACGAATCTTCAGTTTGATATTCGCCGGTCTTACTTTCGAATTTAAATAACGTTTCTTCAAGGGCTTCACAGCTCGATCTCGATTCGAACGTCGTAATTTCCCAATAACGTGAAGAACACGAGTCCTTAGTCTTCGCCGCAAAGTTGATCTTCAATCTTTTCTACGCCGGTCTTGACTAAATAACGTAATTCGGAGGCTTGACAGCTTGTTTACAGATTGAACGTCGGTCTTGAGCTTTGAAATTCTTAAATCTTGCTTCAAATCTGCAAGAACGTCTTTGGATCTTCAAGAACACTTAAATCTCATCAAGAGAATTCTCTAGAGCTCTTCAACTTGAATATAAATTGTGAACTTGAATATGAATTATCATTTTATACTTTAGGGAGTGCCCCTATTTATAGATGTTAGGAAATAGAGTTTTGGAAGAGAAGACATCAATTTGATTGGTTCATAATTTCTTATATTTATCTCTTTAATAATTATTTAAAAAGATAACTAGGAGAGATAGTCTTGAAAAAGGAAACTTCAATTTAATTGGTCCATGAATTTTCAATATTTGTCTCTTTAATAATTATTAAAAGAAATAATTATTTATTTTACTCTCGAAGAAAATGACATGTGACATTCTTTAATTGATCTTCAAAATATACATGTGGCATTCTTTAATTGATCAACAATATATATTAAAAAAATCAATCAATTAATTATCTAATTTAGGATTTAAAGTTTGATTAATTTCCTAAATAAAATAAAATAAATTGATTTTGACATAGAATTTGATACTTATCGCCATTTTATTGGCTAAAAATTTAATTGTCTACAAATGTTTTCTCGAGACTCGTTCACAGACGACGCGTTTTGGAGTGAATAAGTCACGATTTCATTTTATTTGAGTTTGGAGGACCGAATATAAAATCATTACCTTATTGGGTCTGTGGAATTTCTTTGGTTAGTATTGGGCTGAACTTGAATCCAATTAATTTACTTCTTATTGCTTGGTACGTGAAATTGAGTAACTTGAACCTTTCCAAATCTCAACTACAATACAAGGCTGTACAAAATAAAAGGGCCAACGTTAATTCGGCTTAGTCAGCACTTTGAATTTAGTAGATTATCCACTTGAATTGGGCTTAGTCACCACTTGAATTTATTATAATTGATTTGGCCCATGCAAAGTTCTGTATAGATACCTATATATATTTATAAAGAAATTGACATTTACCAAGAATAGTTACCAAGATTTTTGGACATCATTTAATTCATACTATTTTTAGAAAGTTTTTAAATTTTTAAATCAACCGTGTATAATGAAAATCCTAAAATATTAGGTTTTGGTTCTTACTATACACACGGATTGAAATTGAATTCCATACACGTAAGAAGCCTGAAAAATCGGACTATTAGACAGCTCTATATTCCATACAAGCTCATTCTAAAATTTTGATTTTGAATACCAATTTTTCAAACCTTCGATTAAAATTCGAAGCGGATTGCATACAGTATGTATTCAGAAAAATCGAATTTCTTATATTTAAAAAAATCCCAAATTTTGAATTCCTTAGTACTTAAAAAAACTATTTTTGATATTCTTTCACCAAATTTAGGGTGAGATACTATATTAGGCTCATAATATTTAATATAGTTTTAAACATATTACTTAGATAATTTTTTTACACATTCTATCTACATATACATTCACATATACAAAATACATATACATATGTTAAATTTAAATATTTTTAGACATATTTTTAAAAAATAATTTAGAAAATTTTAGGTGGCTTCACATCCTTTTAAATAGTTTTAGACATGTCTTCTTTACAAAATAGTTTAGTAAAATTTTAGGTGACTTAACATATTTCAACAATGATATATAAAATTTTAGATAATTTTACATACGTTATATAATATTTTAGGTACTTTTAATATTTTAACCATACTATGTTATATAATATTTTAGGTACTTTTAATATTTTAACCATACATTTTTTATTTTTTATTTTTATACTAGATAATTTTGTATTGTTTACGACTGATATAAGACAAATTATATAAGATTAACTCCACATCTTTAATTTATAATTATTAGTTAATATTGTTTAACATAATTCTTAATTTATAATTATTATTTAATATTGTTACCCGTGCATCGCACGGACTACACACTAGTATAATAGGCAATGAAAAAACAAACTACTTTTTTTTCCTTTTATTTACTTAAGCCCATTAACCAACCAGTGAAATCCATTTCAAAGCAATTATTACAAAAGCCCATATATGACCAATATTTACGGGATATCAAAATGCAACAGAACATACAACAGAAAGAGACCAGATAGTAGTTTCCTTCGTCTATTAGAACACTGCTCCTAGAAAACTTGAGTTTGCTCATGACTGTTCAGCTGCTTATGATTTTTTTTTTTGTTTTTTCTTTTTTTGGTAGGCTACGTTAGAAGTATATAAAGAGTCATCTCCCAAGTTTTCGGCTACAAGGTGTTTGATCAATTACCCAAGAGGTATGATCATGGCTTAAGCGTTCGGGACTGCAAACTGCTGCTCGAGCGGCTCGACTGCTGCTTGGGGCTGCTCGACTGATCCTCGGGACTGCAAACTGAAACATCTTGAAGTTTAACCATGGTGTATTTCAAGGACCTTTTTTTCCTTTCCGGCATCCAACACTTTAAATACTTGATGACGAGCACCCTTATTTAGACAAACGTACGACTCTAGCGGCCTTTCAACCTCTCATCAACAAGTTCTCTCCTCATGGCCAAAATTTACAAATTCTCTCTACATCAAGGAGTGGTTTCAAGAAGTTCCATCAAACAAGAAAGCAGAGACATGAGCATTTCAAACAACTCATTATCACCATCAGTTGCTTGACAAACAACCGCCATTCTCTACATTGGGCCATCGAATCATCAATGCCGAAGCCATATGGAAAGAAGATCCCATCATGTTCTTCGGCACGTTCCACCACGTCAAAGGCTACTGGGAATGGGCCAAAAACATTCTCAGTCGATGCAAAGACACACTTCATTCTGCCAAGATATACGACTCTGTCTACGCCTTGTTGTTCACATACGATTGCAACTCAAAGAATATTTTATCATTTTATGAATAAATTTATGAATATTTTCTCGACTCTGTCTAGTCCCGGCATAGGCGTCCTAACTACTACGCCCAACATTGAAAAATCATTATTGAGTGGGGATATTTAGTCAATATAATGAAACCCGGGTCACCCATAGAATGTGACTAACACTCTTGTAGATAATAGTAGAGATAGAGGTATATATGATATTGTTTTCTTACAATATTTTTATTTCCAATAATTATTGTTTTCTCTTGTGGTAATAGGGTCCAAAATATTAATTGTTCATATACTTCAACAGTTTCACTCTCTTTGCATACTACGTCAATCAAAGATGCTGTTTCCTGGAAACAAAAGAAAAACTGAATTCCACTTAATCTTCAAATCTTCAATCTTGTTTTGAAACTCCACCGAAAAAAAATAAAATTACGAAACATCAAGCTAACAGCACAAGTCAGCATTTCCTAAGTTTATTAAAA